TACTGTGGCTCTCCTGCCCGGAGAGGAAGGGGCACCCTCTGCCCCTAAGCCTGTGCATCAGCATCTCCTGACCACGATGACTCCAGCCCTAGGGCTGAGTCTCTGAGTTTTTGACCTGTGACACTGGACTGAGATATCTCCTCTGTGGTTGCACGGTTGATATAATCAAGGCAAAGTCCGTACCATATATCTGGTCAGCTGTGTGGCAGCTGTCTCCACGCCACTGATGAGCTGTGTGTGCGGCACAGGGCAGCTTGTCTTGTGACCTGCAGCACTCAGTGCAATTATGTGAGCTGTTGCTGCTTCCTGTAACTCCCTCGCCACCCGTGTGCCGGGATGCTTCCTGGGAAGCAGGACTGGGCTCATTGCTCTCTGGTGTGCCCTAGTTTTCTTACTCCAGCTGGGGTCTGGCTCCTGGAAGCTGTCGCAGGCAGGTCCCAGCTGAACTGGTGGGCTGTTGGGCAATACACGTTTCCTCCTGCCACGCTCCTGCTCCCTTCCATTGCCCAATACAAGAGTGTCACTGGGGTGGGTGGCTGGATGAGCTGCCTGGGGGTGGCAGGGCAGAAACTGCCTGGCTGTGGGAGACCCGAGCTCAGGGAGGGCTGGTGGAGGATATGTGCAAGAAGTCAAAGTCTGTGTGCCTGGCCATGTCACCTGGCAGGTTCTCTGACCTGCCCTGCTGTCAGTGAATATGGTGTGTGTCTGGTTTCTGTGGCTTGCTGCCCAGGGTCACCAAAACCTCCTTGCTGCCAGCATGGGAGGGAGCGCATTGCGCTGCTGTGGTGGGCAGGTTAGGGCAGGGGGTGAGGGCATCAGGGGAAAACCTTTCCTCTTGTACCTGCTCCCCTCTGGGCTGCCGAAAGCTGATCTGTCCCAGCTGGGATGTGCTTCCCCAGGCCCAGTGGCTGCGATTACCCCAAGTGCTGACTGTGCCTCTGGGCTGGCCTGGCTCCCTCTGCCTTGCTGCTGGGGCCAGGCAGACCTGTTTTCCCTGCCAGTGTTGCTCCCAGCACAGGTCCGTCTGGAAGGGGACGCTGTGCTGCCAGGCCTCTGGCCTCTGCTCCCGCACTGTTCCTGCCTGGCTGGGCCTTGCTCTACTGGACTGGCTCCACGGAGCACAGGGCTCCATGCTGCCAGAGCTCCCAACAAGCCTCTTGCAGGCTCAAATCCAAGGACATGTTGGCAGTTGTGCACCTTCATGTGGGGCTGATGAGTGGATTGCCTTCCTGCCTGCTCAGGGGAAGTGGCTCTTCTGATTTGAGGATGGCTGAAGTGCTCCTGTTACCTCAAACCCTTCCTCTCCCTCTTCCTGGTGGACAAAACCTTGCTCCTGCCTGCCCTGACTTCTGGACCCTGGCAGACTGGGATTGCACTGGGATCGCCTGCTGAGGTGGTAGGACTCATGTCCCACTTCCACGTTGTGGCAGGAGCTCAGCTTGGGGAAGTGCCACCCACTCAGTCCAGAGCCAGCACCAGTCATGGGGAGCAGGGCTGGTCGCGTGTGCTGCTGAGTCACCCCAGGGCAGCAGCTGCCAGCCTGGAGCCCCCAAGGGGGGAGTGGCCCATGGGGGCAGGTGGCCTTGCTCCTGCCCCAGCCCTTGTCTCAGCTGTGTGGCTTGGCAATGCTGGCTTGGTGACGGTGCAGCACCTAGCACAAGGCTTCTGTGCCCTCTGCAGCGATGGGGTACCTGTGCTGCTGTCACCGCTGTTGGGTCGATGTGTGTGAATCTGGATTGAGGGGCTGGGGGTGCTGCTCGTACTGGCTGGTGGCCAGCTTGGAGCTGCCTATGCCTTCTTGCCTACAGTGTACCCAGAGAGCCAGTCCCTCTGCTGTCTCTAGCTGGCCCCCCCAGCACAGAGCCCTGGGCTCCTTGGGGTCCTCCAGCTGCTCAGCTGTTCTCATCCCATTTCCTCTGGTCGGTTTGGGATCAGCTCTATTCAATGGATTTTGAAGTCAGGGCAGGGATCACTATCCCCCTACCTCTTCTGCATGGACATAATGAGCAGTGGTGAGCAGTAGCTCTCCCCAGCCATCCAAAGGTCACTGCAATGGGACTGGGATGGGACAGCATCATCACTGGTGTCTTCTGGGACAACGATGGTCATTTCCAGGTGCATGAACTGGGTATGAAGGTTTCCAGGCAGCACCCTGCTCCTGTGGGACAGGGTACTGGCTGGTGAAGGGTCCCTTCCAGCCCCTGCCTGCCTCCCTCCTGGGAGCTGTGGGGTCTGCCTGGTCCCAGGGGATGGTTATTGCCCCAGTGGGGGGCTGTTGTGGGCCTGTTCCTGAGTGTTCCCACTGTGGGCTGGCTTGGGGGGAAGCATCCTGACTCTGCCAGCTGCCTTGAGTTAGCCCTCCTCTCTGCCGCTCACAGAAAATCATTGGCGTCTTCAAGCCCAAGAATGAGGAGCCGTACGGACAGCTGAACCCCAAATGGACGAAGTGGCTGCAGAAGTTGTGCTGCCCATGCTGCTTTGGGAGAGACTGCCTCGTCCTCAACCAGGGCTACCTGTCGGAGGCAGGTGCCAGCCTGGTGGACCAGAAACTGGAACTCAACATCGTTCCCCGCACGAAGGTGAGGGGACAGCTTCCGGGATCTCCTCCTAGGGAGGCTTTTGTTTGCTTCTGCACAGCTCTGCTTGCACCTTGTCTTGTGACACTGCTGTCCTTGGAGATGTCACGTTGAGAGCTCTGGATTGGGACTGCTCCTACTCAGGCTGTGGATATCCTTGTGCTGGGCAGAGCCATGGGAAATGCTGTGTCTTGGTTTTATCAGCCAGTCCTGTGACAATTGTCAGGTGTCCCTGCTGACATCTGTGCTCCTGTCCCCCCAGGTGGTGTATCTGGCCAGCGAGACCTTTAACTACAGTGCCATCGACAGGGTGAAGTCCCGAGGAAAGAGGCTGGCCCTGGAGAAGGTGCCGAAAGTTGGCCAGCGCTTCAACCGCATTGGTCTGCCACCCAAGGTAGGGCTGCCGGCCTCCGTGCCTGCCTGTGGCTGGTTTTCTGGCTTCCTGTAACACAGCCTCTCCTTGCTACAGGTGGGTTCCTTCCAGCTCTTTGTGGAAGGCTACAAGGATGCTGATTACTGGCTGCGACGGTTTGAAGCTGAGCCGCTCCCGGAGAACACCAACCGGCAGCTGCTGCTGCAGTTCGAGCGGCTGGTGGTGCTGGACTACATCATCAGGAACACAGGTAGGGCTAGCTGGCTGCCTGGCATGGGAGGCTGCCTGCTCCTTCACACCCTGCCAGCTGGAGAAAGGAGCGGGGGGCAGAGGCTTGGCATCTCTTCACAGTACCCAAAACAACATCACTTGGTTGCTGCCAGGTGGCAGCTGCCTCTGGACTCCTGTGGCTGCCCAACACCGTGGGCTTTCCCCCGAGCCAGGGATATGTGGACCTCTCCAGTCTTCAGGGGTGGTTGTGTAGGGCTCTGGGTAGAGTTTGGGCCTAAAAGTGGTCTGTCTCACTTCTGGGTCAGAGGATGAGTAATCATCTGCCCAGCATGATGCAGGCAGGCCCTGGCACTGACACAGCTGGTTTTATCTCCCTGCAGATCGGGGCAATGACAACTGGCTCATCAAGTACGACTGTCCCCTGGACAGCGCGGGCGTGCGGGTGAGCAGCTCTTCCCAGGCAGGGGTTCTGCACAGGGTTCTGCTTCTGCAAGCTGGGGCAGTGACTTCCCAGCTGGTTTGGGTTTCTGAGTGTGCAGAGGCCTGGTCTCTTTTCTCCTGGGCCTTTCATTGCCCTCTGCATGGGTGGTTTGTGACCTAGTGGGACTTCTTGAGGATGCAGCTGGGCTCTGTGGGGAAAACAGGTGTTGCTGGACCTGTGCATCCTTGGGGTGAGGCCTGGGGAGGGGGGAGCAGCTTTGTCCCCCTCCCACCCAAAGCAGATGGTGTTTCCCCGCAGGCAGGGGGCCATGCTATGTGTGAGGGGCTGCTGTGTCTCTGTGGTAGCCAGGGCAAAGATCCTGGCAGTGGGGCTGCAAGGAGCAGGAGAGGGGCTGTTCTTGGG